AGATTCAGACCAAGGGACTCACTTTACCGGCAAGTGCCTGAAGGATGCATGTAAACTACTGGGAATAACACAAAGGTCTCATATCCCTTACCATCCACAGAGCTCGGGGATGGTAGAGAGGATGAATAGAACACTGAAAAATGCTCTGACCAAGGCAATGATAGGAGAAATGGATGGACTATTTCCTTACTAGCCATTCTGATGGCCCAGAGGGCAATGCCCTCTCAGGCCACTGGACTTAACACCCTTTGAACTCATGACAGGACGAGCAACGACACTCCTTCAGAACCTAATCACAGGAGGAGCAGAACTGACTAATGGCAAGGGACAAGTCTGGGATTACATGAAATCCCTCTGTAAGCATCTGCACATACATTATAGACAGGCACGAGACCAGCAGCTTGTCAAGGACTGGGAATCTGAAGGACGCCCAGGACAAATAGAAATGCCAGCCCCAGGATCAAGGGTCCTGGTAAAAATAATCTCAACAAGGGAGCCTTTCCCCCTCGGTAGGATAGACCTCATGAGGTAATACTAACAGGTAACAGAAGTGCACTTATTAATGAAAATGGAATTGTTAAATGGAGACATCCTACACAGCTAAGAGTATAATGGTTGATGCGGTGACTGTCTAGCCTGCTAGTCTGGTATTCTCTCTCTCCTGCAAACCCCCTCCCCCCGCCCCCACTTGCAGGTTTTGGAGAACCCTCATCTGTGTGCACCAACAAAGAGTAGGAAAAGGATCCTCAACCCTAGGACAGAAACCGGAACTGATTAAGGTCACGTAAATATATGTGACATGGTTGCACAGTGAAAACTGTAATTAAGAATATTGCTGAAACTAACGTGAGTATGAAAATGTTAATCCTCTGTGGGCTCCTCTTACTTTTGACCCCATCAAAGGCTGATAGGCAAGTGGAGAAGAGGAATTTGAATGTTAATACGTTTTTATACTTATAATGTGTATGCTAGAGAGGATAATGTTTCCAATTGCATGGTCTGCACCCATGTCCCCATACACACTAAGGAGGCATACCAATGTGATTCATCTGCAGTTCTTGCTGTTTCTATGTAAGGTGACTTCTACCTGAGCACACTAAGCCTACAAGGGAGCCTCCCCTGCCTGGGGAGGTGATGGCCTGATAGTATTATCACTGGACTGTTAATCCAGATCGCCGGATAACATTCTGGGGACCCCGGTTCAAATCCTATTATTTGAATTCAATAAATATCTGGAATTAAGAATGTAATGATGACCGTGAATCCATTGCAGGTTGTCAGAAAAACCCAGGTGATTCACTATTGCCCTTTAGGGAAGGAAACTGTCAGTCTTACCTAGTCTGGACTACATCCTTCAGGAGGGACGTGTGTGATGCATGAATGGTACCACATAGCTGAAGTAGCATGATCCTGTCCAGGTTGGGGGGAGCCAGGCATAGGCTGTGTGTCCACACACAAAGTAGGTGCCATTGTACAGGATGAATTGAGTAGTAATCTCGGGGTACCAGCATTGTTGGAACTTTCGTTACTCATGAGGTTCCTGAAGATCAGGAGGCTAGGGCCGCCCTGCATGAGGAAAGACATGTTTAGGGATCCCATGCTCAGGAAGAGTGCACTGATGGGTCCTAGGAGAGGGTATGTGGAGATGTTATAACTCTGGGTGCAGTTACTAAATCCCATGGATGTTCCTTTTCCTTGGTTTTCAACTCATTAGGCAGATCAAGCCATCAGGTCTCCCTATCTCTGATGTGTTAGTCAAAGTGATGAAGGGGGGTGGTCGTGAGGTCGTGTAGTTGGGTTGGTACCATCCTGTAAAGGTGCTCAGGTGATACCCTGCTGATTTCCATTGTGCCCTATCTCTGTCAGTATTTACCAACTACTTCCCACTATTGGTAGGATGCCCACCTCTACCTCCCTGTTTTGAGCTGTTCTATTTTGATACCCATTCGACTAATTCTGAAGCATTAAAAGTTGTCCACAGAAGTGCCCAACATTGATTAGGTATCCCACGGGATTGGGTGTTTGGATTAAGGAGAAGGACAGTGAATACGTTGTGTTTAATTATTGTAACACAAAATGTATAAAAATGCTGTATTTCTTGAGAAATGGGGAGGGGGAAGGGAGCTGGGAAATAAATAGAGAGAGGACTGGTGGGCTGGGGAAGGTAGGTGGTACAGTAATAGGTGAATGAAGGTAGGGGGTGGTGGGGATTGGTCAGTGGGATGGGTGGGGCGGGTAGGTGGGAGAGAAGGTGGACAGGTGGTGTCAGGTCAAGGAGGTGACGATGAGAGGAGGGGTTGGACATGGGATGAGGCTGGGGGTGGGAGATTTTAAAAGCATAAGATGTGTCATTGATCTATCTTCCGAAGCCCGATTCAGAGAAGATCCTTTGGCCCCTTCCCTGCTTAACCCAGTTTCTGCTTAACCCAGTTTCTGCTTAACCCAGTT